TCAACTCCATCCTGCTCTTGTTTTTCTTATTTAATAATTCGATAAGACGATTGTAAAATATGTATGAAAATGAAAGGGTTGTGAGGAGAAACAGGAGGCAGAAACAGAAGAAGAGAAAAATGATGAAAGGATTTACCCTATCAGATACCAAGACTTATTGGGCTGTAATAATTGAGAGTAGTGTTGGTTCAGGGATAGATAAAAACAAGACTAGAGAAATTTATTCTTAGTAATCTTTATTCTTAAAATATTCATTTTGTGCTCCATCTGGGCACTGAGGAAAAGAGGTGACTAACCCCGACACAGTCACTGCTTTTAGAGGGAATACAAAACACAGTAAACTCTAGTTGCTTTCAGGAAAAGTCTGACTGTCTCATGTCTTTAAAGAAATTTCTGGGATCTGGCCTCTGCCTGTTTCTCCAGCCACATCTGTAAGTTCTAGTCTAGCTCAATTTCTGGTAGCTCTCACCTCCACATAATGGGAGCCTGTACTCACACTCTTGATCACTGACCCTCAACCAAACCTACTCACACAAGACCTTAAAACTTACCCTGCCCTGACCTTAAGCTTTACACTGAACCTGACCCTTACTCATCACCCCGACCCTGACAGATATACTCACTTAATTCTTTGCTAGACACTTACCCACCCATACCTGACCTTATTCTTGGCATCAACCCTGACCCTCGCCATAACTCTGACTCCACTTGACCTAGAACTTAACCTTGTCTATGAACTTGGCCATCACCTTCACCTTATTACTGGTCCTCTAATTAACATTCATACTTTTATGCTCATCATGACCTTGATGCTGACCATTAACGTGACTGTCACGCTTATCTTGACCTGGACTTACCCTTGACAATGACAGTTTGTCATGCTGGTCATGACACAGAGCACTCATGAATGATACACTCACCACCCTCAATCTTATTCTGACCCTCAACTTCACTCTGCCTGTAAACTGAATCTTCACCTTAACAAGGACCATCATATTGACCTACCCTGACTCCGAACTTGACTTGAACCTGACCTTGAGCTACACCATACACTTGAGCTGAAACTAATCTATACCCCAAACCTGACCATGACCCTGATCCTGACACCTTGACCTAGACCTCAATTTCACCTCTACCTTGATCCTCATCCTAATTCTGACTCTTGAACAGAACCTAGACTCACTTGGCTGTTGGCGCCATAACTCTGACTCCACTTGACCTAGAACTTAACCTTGTCTATGAACTTGGGCATCACTGTCACCTTAATACTGGTCCTCTAATTAACATTCATACTTTTATGCTCATCATGACCTTGATGCTGACCATTAACGTGACTGTCACGCTTATCTTGACCTGGACTTACCCTTGACAATGACAGTTTGTCATGCTGGTCATGACACAGAGCACTCATGAATGATACACTCACCACCCTCAATCTGATTCTGACCCTCAACTTCACTCTGCCTGTAAACTGAATCTTCACCTTAACAAGGACCATCATATTGACCTACACTGACCCCGAACTTGACTTGAACCTGACCTTGAGCTACACCATGCACTCGAGCTGAAACTAATCTACACCCCAAACCTGACCATAACCCTGATCCTGACACCTTGACCTAGACCTCAGTTTCACCTCTACCTTAATCCTCATCCTAATTCTGACTCTTGAACAGAACCTGGACTCACTTGGCTGTTGTCAATGACTCACCCTAATCCCATCATGACCTTGAACCTGCCCCTGAAATCACACTTCACACTGACATTGACCTTCGCCATTATGGGGACCCTCATCCTCAGCCTGGTCATCACCCACATCTTGACCTTGAACCTGACCTTGACTATAAACCTAACTCTGACTCTCTGTGGTAAGTGGAATAATGCCTGCCCCCAAATATGTCCATGTTCTAACCTATGAAAATGTCATCTTAGCAAAAAGGACTTTGCAGATGTAATTAAGACTACAAACCTTGAGATGGAAAGAGTATCATGGATTATCCAGGTGGGTGTGTGTACAAGAAGGTAGAATAGGGAAGGCTTGACTTTTTCCAGCAGCAATGGAAAACGAATCCCACCTTTTAATTGACCTTGACAATATCATGTTCATTCTGACCTGAAAATAGACTTGAACCTGACACTGACCCTATCCTCACATTGATCTGAACCCTGAACCTGACACCCTAATCTTTAACATCAACTTCACCCTGACCTTCACTCTGAATCCTACACAGAATTGGACATTCACTGTCAACCTGAGTCCAACTCTCAAACTTACCTCACCCTGACCTTCATCCTCACTTTGATTTTCTAATGGATCCTGACCCTGATCCTGTCCTTGATTATGACTCTCACACTTATCTTGAACTTGATCTTGACCATAACCCTTGCTCTAAAATTTCCCTTACACGAATTTGGACCTTGAACCTGATTCTGACACTCACCACAGCACTGACCTCTGTCTCATCCTGACTCTTAACCTGGTACAGAATTTTACTTTGAAATGGACACTCACTCTTACTCTGATTCTGACCCTTATCACTCTGTCCCTGACCTTACCCTCATCTTGTGACTCTGACCCTCTCTAACCTTGAACTTGTTCATGACCTTCACCCTTATACTAACTGACCTGAACTTAGCCAGGGGCAGGACCAAGTCTAGAGTGAGGTCCAGGGTCAGAGCCCAAGGCTAGCATGAGGATCAAGTTAGTGGTCATGGGTAGAGAGGCACCAGGTTTAGTTAGAGCCAGGGCAAAGTTCAGAATGAGGGTGTGTCAGGGTCTGGGGTTAGGTGAGTGTAGGAATGAGTGTAGGCATGGATAACAGATGCTAGTAAGGATTAGAGTGATGGTCAGGGTGAGGTTGAGGGACAGCGTCAGGATAAGGGCACATGGTCAGGGTGAAGGCCAAGCATGAACCAGATGAGAGGTCTAAGTCAAAGGCCAGGTTTAGAGAGGGGCGTATGTATTGTCAAGGGTGAGGTAAAGGGGCAAGATCAAGCACCACGGCAAGGGTTTAGGAGGTGCTGGTTTGGGGCCACTATAAAGTCCAGCGTGAGGGTCAGTGCAAGAGCAAAGGCCAGGGCGAGGGTGCATGTCAGTATAAAGGGATGGGCGAGTGTCGGGTCAAGGGTCAGGGCAAAAGCGAGGTCCAAGGGTGAAGTCAGGCAAATCGAAGGCTAGGGAGAAGCGAGGCTGGTGGGCTATTGAATGGGGCGGAAGCGCAGCGGGAAGAGCCGGCCAAACGCTGCGGCTGGGGCGGGGATTGGGCTACCAGCGCGGATGCGCGGTGGGCTGGACGAGGATTGGTTGAGCGGGGACGAAATGCAACGGACTGGACGGATTTTTCCTGCAGAGCGGAAGCGGTGGGCTGGGCGGGGATTAGCCTGCGGGGCGGAAGCGCTGAGGATTGGTCAAGGATTGGCCTGAGGGGCAGAAGCACGGTGAAGGCGTGGCAGAGCTGGAGCTGTGGACGTGATGGAGCCGCAGCTGGGTCTGCACGAGCTTCTGCATGTCTTCTCCTTCCTGGAGGCCCGAGACCTTCTCTGCGCCGCCCAGGTGGACAAGGTAGCATACCCCGGCGAGAGGCAGGGCAGGGTTCTTGGGCACTGGGTTTCGAAGTCTGGGCCTTCTACCCCGGACTTCAGTTTCCCTATCTGGGAGCGAGTGTTCGGCGGCCCTGAATCCATGACCGGCAGAGGGCGCTAGTGGCCTCTGGAGGGTTACTCTAAACCCCATCCCCACTCTTGGCGCCCTGCCATCAGGGTTACCCCCTAAGGTTGGCTTAGGGCTCTGTTTTCTTTCTCTTCCCACTGCTGCAATATTCTGGCATTTTCCTCCTGGGGCCTGCCTGGAAAGCCACGCCCCCAGTTCGCCCCTAGAGTGGCGACCTCCTGCGGGCTCAGGGCTGTTCCTTCCCAGCCGCTTGCACCTTTGTCCTGGCTCTGCAAAGTGCCTGTTGAGTGCGTTAGTCTCATCTGCACTTCATCCCTTGTTACAGGTGCACTAATCTTTTCCTTCCTAGGACTCAGCACAACTGTAAATAGGTGATTGTCTGTAGGATGAATTTAATGTCTGCTTTTCCTTGCTAGACTCATTCCTAACAGGGTTTTTTGTCTTACATCATACTGATTCTAGTACCCTGTATGTGACTTGACATTTAGTGTACTCTAAATATTTGTTGAGTAAATAGATTTCTTTACTTTTAGTATACTTTTTTAAAGTCATTTTTCAAAAACATTAATAAATCCTTAACTGAATTCTATAATTATAATTTTAAATGTGTCAAGTGAAATGCCAGCTTTTCATCCCCATTTTTACCAATAGGGAAAGTGAGTTTCTCAGTGAGTGCATTGTCCAAGATCACCAAGGTATTAGGGCTGGAATTGGATCGTTGGTTGTTTTCACAACAGCAGCAGGCTGGGGATAGCATAGGGGCAGAGTTTGAAAGGGAGGTGCCTTTATACCCTTTGATAGCACCAACTTCTCCAGGTCTTAGCTTCCCATTAGGTAAAATGAGGTTAGTAATCTCTGCCTGTTGGTGTATGGTTAAGGCCAGGATCTAACAGAAGGACCCTTAAAGGTGGGTAGCATTTATTTTGTAGGTTATATTACCTGTTATAACTTTATATGTGGGAAGTAAAATCTCAGTTGAGTTTTGAACTGGGAACTATAGAAAAGGGAAATGAATAAATTTTCTTGCCTGGCTTGATTTTGCAAAATACAAACATTCCATTCCTATCAGCCAAAAAGACTTCATAAGGGCTGAGAAAATTTGATCTAGAAGGTGAGCAAGGGCTATGGAAGTGGGGCCTTGGGCTCAACAGACAATGGTTGTTGGATTTGTCAGAGGCTGGAAAACCACATTTCTAGGATGGGACCCTTAGTAGGGCTGGGCCACAGAAAGCTCCAGGTTAGTTCCCACTGAAGCTGTATAGGCTCTGGAGTCCAAGGTGGCCCAGGTGGAGAGGCCAAGAAGTTCCAGGATGCATGAGCCACCTGAGCCTCTTCTACATACTTATACAGAGGGCAGTTTGTAGAGCAGGGCCTGCATAGTGTCCTCCCCTAGGCAGCTGTTCCCTTGTACCATCTTGGCATCTCTAGGACATCCCCTAGGCCAGTGCCTTAATTTACTCCATTGAAGCAGCCTTCTTATGGGACCTGTTGCTCTGCCCTCATTTTCAATCCTTTCTTCTCACAGCAGCCAGTTTGACCCACCACTCTTCCATACACAATTCTCAAGTAGCTTCTCGCTGTTTTTGCTGTTACAACTTCTGGGAATTGGTATAAGCCAATCTCCAGCTCCTTTTCCCAGAACTTATGTTCTAATTAAGTGAATTACTCACCATCTTTTTCATTCTTCTGAATCTTTGCCCAGGCAGTTCTGTGTCTCCCTGGAATGCTTCAGCCATTCTTTTAAGGTACAATGACCCATCCTTTGGGACTTGATCAGTAATCACTTCTGAGCCTCTTGGCTCCATTAAGTTGGTCATTCGCTCCTTTCTCACTCATTGTGTGGTGGTTTTTATTTGAATGTGTCTCTAATTCCCCAGAGTAAGTTTTTTTGAGTGTGGCGCTGACTCTGATTTAGCCCCCTCCACAGGGCCTGGCAGGCTAGGTACTACTAACTGTATGTTTACTGACCAGATACTCTCTTCTCTCCCCTGTTGTTCTAGGTCTGGAATGAGGTTTCAAGAACCAAGGAATTGTGGAGGTGAGTGAAGGAAGAGCCAAATATGGTCAGAAGAATGTCCCGCAAAAGAGAGATATGTGCACTGGATAAGTTTTTTGAGTACTCACTGGCTCTGTTGAGAAGGGACAATCAACAGCCTCTACCAGCAGAAAACTGCTCCCTTGTTGAGGACATAAGACTCTTTTTATAGTATACTGAAATATAAGATTTTTTATTAATGGAGGGGGAAGTTGATATAAGGCAGGGGTACCAAACTCAGGGGCAAAAATGTATAGCAAATGAACACAACTGGCTGACAGAAGACAAATCAGACATGTAAACCACTTTTATTTTAATTCAACACTGGTGTAACAACATAGTTAAATAAGCATGTGTGATACTAGAACTTAAAAATAAAATTCAAAAAATTAAAGTTGAAAATAAATATTTTAATCATCAAATCATTAAATTTTTCTTTCCTTTTTATTTCTACTTTGGAACCTGACATTTTTTCTTTTACCTCAAGATATAAGTGTCAGATTTTCTACCTCTTGCTGAGTATAGGACACTATAGCCTTGACTGTCATCTAAGAGTTGTACTTAGTTTTAGTCTCTCACGATGAAAAACAGCTGTTCACACTTGGAAGTCCTTCCCAACGTGGAGGGCATTTCGGCTTTATGGTTGTTATTTTTAGGATAACTGTACATTAAGATATTTTAGAATTCTGGAAACCAGTCTCGCCATACTTAGTTTCAGTATCCTAGGAGAGTTGTGTTTGTTGCTTTTCATTCACTTTTTATTGCCAATAATGTTAATTAGAAAAATGATGTCACTCTCTTCAGTCACTTTTTAAGTAAGAGAACTTTTATTGGTTTTGTCTTTATCTCACCAATTTGAGGAATATACTCTAGATATAACATTCAGTTCTGGAAATCAGTTTATCTGTAGGTAAATAGACAAGATTGTCCTGCCAAATGTGATTCTCAAAGACATTGTGTTACTAGGAATAAGTGAATTGACTTTTAGATTAGTGTAATTATTTGTGGAAGCCCTTGAAGAGCAATGTTCACCTGTTAAAATGGGTAGGATACCAGCCCCAAACCGTAATCTTTGTTCTCATCTTTGCTGACAAGCTGGGGTAGGAATTTCCATTTGTGTGACATGAGTAAGTATATTTCTGTAAGCAGTTTAAAAAAACTCTTCAGCAGCTTTTCACCTAATCTCCATAGGTATATCATATGTTACTGTTGTGCCTCTGTCTGCAAACCAAGTCACAGTCAGTTTTTGGTTCATTATTATTTCATAATATTTGGTGCTAAACTTTTTTGCATAAAGCTATTCCTTGGGATGGTATCCTTGACCTATGCTCTTATAAAAACACTGGGCTTATTATGTTTTTGAGGCTGGGACAGCAGCATTCCAGGAGCGTGATCACATGCATGTATCATGCCTATCATGGTACCAGGCGTATAGAAATTGTTATGGATACAGTGAATGAACATGGTTAACTGATCATGTATGTTAAATCTGTGCTCTACAATTTTAATCAAAAATGCTGCAAGTGACTTATTTAAATGCTTCATCACATTTTAAATTCTGCCATTTCTGTAACATACTAAGCTAGCTTTTTGGTTAGTAAAATTGTAAATATTTGCTTTTGTTTAAGATATATAATTTCTGTTGTGTACAATAGATTGTTTTGTTATTAATTGCTATCTGAAAGGTTTTGGTGCCATGATATTTTTTTACTTGCTGTATCATTGTATTTAAGAGGCATATCACATATTTTATTCATTCATACATTAACCTTGTTTACAGTCTCCTTTTTTTTTTTTTGGTTAAATCATTTGCTTTTCTTATTTCTTCTGAATATTGGTCATGGGTCCTACTTATGGTTTATGTATAATGGCCTTAATTATGTAGAAATAGACTTCATTTCCACAAAGAAATGTGCCATCTCCCCTTTTTCTTTAACCACATGATCTTCTCGGTCTAGCTTTTATTTTCACACTGTTTAGATTGAGATATGAATAACAAGAAATTTCCCTTTCCTCTTATTTCAACTAAAAGAACATTAACAACATACAGAAATGATGATGTGAGGCAGTTAACAGTTAGCCTCAGAATCCAGGAGATAAAAGGGATGGCGAAGACCATGGTGGAGCTTAGAGCTCATTCTTTAAAGGGTACAGCTCTGTGCAGCTCCAGACAAATTTTGCCAGGTGGGACTTTGGGCTCAATATAGCTAGACCTTACGCTTTTACCTGATTTTGATGTGAAGTCTCCTGATTTATATGTGTTGGCAGCTAGTTCACATGCAGGCCAAACAATATAATCTGGCGTCCCATTCTGCCCACAAGCTGCCAGTATACTACTTCTGGACCAGAGTTTTGGCAAGCACAGAAAAACCTTTATCCAACACAAGCACTGAATCTTTCTCAGTGTGTTAGAACAAGGGTCCCCATCCCCAGGGCTGCGGACTGGTACTTGTTTGTGGCCTGTTAGGAACCAGGCCGCACAGCAGGAGGTGAGCAGCGGGCAGCAAGCAAAGCTTCATCTATATTTGCAGCCGCTCCCCAGTGCTGGCATCACCACCTCAGCTCTACTTCAGATCATCATACATTAGATTCTCATAGTAGTACCAGTCCCTGGTGCCAAAATTTTGAGGACCGCTGTGTTAGAAGGTCCTTAATGCCTAGCACAGAGCAAGACACATACATGTCAATGAGGGGGAAGAATGAGATTAGAAAACCTTCAAAGTCTCACTACCACAGAATTGTCTTTACTGGACCGGTCTGGTGTTTCTTGGAAGACCCCACATGCTGGCTCTCTTTATTTTCCCTGACTTGGAGTTCACCCAGTGTGAAAAGGCTTTGGGGCATTTGTCAAAACAATTATAAACAACTGATTAACTTTGTGGCTGTCAGAGCTGATGGATGACAGTTATAGAAACAGTAGGCTAGCCAAAAAAACTTCAAATGAAAAGACAGGAATGTGATATCTTTAGGGGTTTTGGAAAGCCCCAATATATTCCTAGAAATCTAGAAGGCCATGCGTGCATGCAGGGCTTTGCACTAACTTAGGAAAGACCTAAGAGGGCTCTAAACTCTCACTTCTGGCTGACTTTGAGGTTCTATGCAAGCAGGAAGTGAAGGCTAAGGCACAGTAGTCAACTGCCTGACTGAGTGTTGAACACATGCCCCAACATGCACACAGAGCTTTGGCAATGACTAGACTTAGTAGTTCTAGATGTTTAGGAAATTTCTATCCAGATGTTAGCATTAATTTAACTGAGCAGAGGCTTTAGTGGCCAGACATAACAAAGAATACAGACTTTTCAGAATTAGTTTATAATTGTCACTAAACAAACAACAAACATCAACAACAACAAAGCTGGGGTGGGGGGAATCAGATTTCCAGAGTTCCACATTATGTGGAACTTTATATAAGCAAAGACTTTAAATCAGCTATTTTAAGTACAGTTGACTCTTGAACAACTATACTTAACATAGCTGATTTAAAGGAGTTTAGGGCACTAACTCCCCTGCACAATCAAAGACCATATATAACTCTTTGACTCTCCCAAAACTTAAATTTTAATAACCTGTTGATAAGAAGCCTTACCAATAACATAAACAACCAATTAACATTTTGTATGTTAATTGAATATGTATTACATACTCTATTGTTACAGTAAAATAAGCTAGAGAAAAGAAAACTATAAGGAAAATACATTGACAGTACTGTACGTATTTTTTGAAAAATAATCCACTTATCAGTGGACCTGTGCAGTTCAAACCCATATTATTCGAGGGTCAACTGTATGTACAAAGAACTAAAAGAAACCATATGAAAAGAACTAAAGGAAAGTAGAAGGACAATGTCTCATTCAATAGAAAATAATCAAGAGAAATTATAAAAAACTAAATAGGAATTATGGAGTAGAAAAATACGATATCAAATTAAAAATTCAAGAGCAGATTTGAGCAGGCAGAAGAAAGAATCAGTGAACTTGAAGTTAGGTCAATTGAGATCCAGTCTAAGGACAGAATGAATATAAAGATGAAGAAATATGCATAGTGCCTAAAGACCTGTGGACATGATCAAGCATACCAACAATGCATAATAGGAGTCTCAGAAAGGGGAAGGGGAGAAGGAAGAAAGTATTTAAAGAAGTAATGGCTGAAAACTTACTCAATTTGATAGAAAATGTTAATTTACACATCCAAAAACTCAATGAGTACAAGTAGGATAAACGCAAAGAGTTTCACATTGAGACACATTATAATCAAATTTGAAAGCCAAAATCAGAAAGAGAAACTTGAAAGCATCAAGAGGCAACAATTCATCATATACAAGGGAACCCCAATGAAATTAATGGTTGCTTTCTCATAAAAAACTTGGAGCCCAGAAAGTAGTGGGATGACATATTGAAAGTATTGAGAAAAAAATATTGTCACTCAGAATTCTAGTCTAGCAAAATGAAAGAGACAGTTAAGACATTTCCACATTAACAAAAGCTCAGAGAATTTGTTGCTGGTAGACCTTGCCCTACAAGAAATGCTAAAAGGAATCTTTCAGCCTAAGGACATTAGACAAGAACTTGAATCCACATGAAGAAATAGCACCATAAAGTGATTATATACGCATATATAAAAGGCAGTATAAAGTGTATTTTTTGTTTGTGACTCTTTTTCTCCTATGTGAGTTAAAAGACAACTTTTATTGCATAAAGCAATAACTATAAATCTCTGTTAGGTACATAATGTTTAAAGATTTAATTTGTATGACAATAACAGCATGAATGAGGGGGCAGGAAATGGAGCTATATAGGAGCAAAGTTTTTGAATACCATTGAAATTAATAGATATTAATCAAAACTAGATCGTCGTAAATTAAGATTTTAATAGTAATCCCCTAGGCAACCATTAAGAACTCAAAAAATAAGGTATGAGAAATGACAATGGATTAAAATAGGTACTACAAAATATTTAATACAAAAGAAGGCAGTGATAGAAGAAGAGGGGGGAAAAGACATAGAAATATAGAAAAAAGCAAAATGACATATGTAAATCCTACCTTATCAGTAGTTATATTGAATATATATGGATTAAACACTCCAGTAAAAAGGCAGGAGATTGGCAGAAGGGGTTAAAAATACCCACCTTTATGCTGTCTATAATAGACACACTTTAGACTCAAAGACTCAAGCTTAAAAGAATGGAAACAGATATACCATGCAAACAGTAACCAAAAGAGAGCTGGAATGGCCAAGCTAATATTAGACAAAATAGACCTTAAGACAGAAGGTGCTACTCCAGACAAAAAAGGATATTTTAAACAAACAGCTTAATCCATCAAAATCTAAAAATTGTAAACATATATGCACCTAATAACTGAGCATCAAAATACATGAAGGGCTGACAGAACTGAAGGGAGAAATAGACAATTCAGCAGTAAGAGCTAGGTACTTTAAAACTGCAGACACTTGAATTCCAGTTGCATGACCAGGGCTTCATAACCTTGGGTGAGCTGTTTACCTCTCTCTGCCTCTCTGTCCTGGTATAGGATGGGGATCAGACCTACTTCACAGGGTTGTTATTGCAGATTGACTGGATACACAAAAAGCACTTATACCTGACGTGGTGAGTACTAGCTCGGTATCTTCTCAATCATTTCCCCCATTTAAGCAGAGGAAATCGAGGCCTGTGTAGGCAAAGTGAAGTGTCCAAGCTAATAGGTGGTGAAACTGAGAATCAAAGCTAGGCCTATTGATTCCACAGTACCTTCTAATGACTGCTCTGTCCTGCCTGGGACTGTGGGTCTGTTTTTTAGGCAGCTTTGTCTGAGACGCTGGTCCTCCTGTAAAGACTCCCAGATGACCCTAGGCACACAAACATGGAAACAGTACTATCTCTGCCGATCGGAGCTGGAGTTCCGAATGGAATCCGGACGGCCAGAGAAGGATTTCATCTGCAAAGCCATTGCTGGGCACAAAGGTATGGAGTGGGGAGTGTGGTAGCTGGACGCTTTCCCACTGCTCACTCTCCTGGTGGAGTCTCATGGGATTTTGTATTTCAGCCAGTGAGTTGGGAAATGCCACTTGACAGGTACATACCATTCTGGGTTCTACATCTGTGTTATGTCATTTGCTCGTCACTGTAATTCTATGAGGAAGGGATCATTACATCTATTTCATGGTTATGTGGCTGGTAGGTTGTGGGCAGTCCTGGGCATGAAATGCAAGTCGTAAATTTAAAGCCTTAGCCCTTGCTGTCCACTGCTGTCGTCAAGCCAGCACCTATTTTACTGCTGAAAGAGAAAGAGGAGTGATTGTCTCACCTCCCCTACACCAGGTTCAGTGTTCACATTTAAGGCATCCAAGTGTGCATTGAAAGTCTTATTCTCTTTTAGGAGAGATAGATGAGCTGGCCTACATCTCAACCAACGAGTACCGCTTTGATGGGCAGGAGAAGTCTGTGGTGTGCACTGTGTCCTCAGATGGCACCGTGCGTGCCTGGGATCTGCAAGAGGTGAGCAGCCTGGAGGAGGACAGGATGAGTACTGACCTCGGTCTTATTTAACCATGACAGAGAGGAGTGGGAGCCCCATTGTACAGATGAGAAATCTGAGTTGCAAGAGGTTCAGTCCCCATGCTAGGTCACAATTGAAATGTGAGTTGACTGATTGCAAATGACATGCTCCTAACTTCTGCTGTGCAGTGCCCAGTGGAGGCTGTTTGCTTCAGGCTATGGCAGCTGCCATGCTCAGTTCTGTCCACATTGGAGCTGACGGCAGCCCCCTGAATGGTTGTGCCCAGGGAATTGCAGCTTGTAGTCACTCCTACGTGCAAACTAAGTGTTAAACCTTGATAACTTGATTAGTATTTTACATGTTGTTGGCACTCATAGCTAAAATCTTTCCTGTCCATTTTCTCATTTGATTCTCACAACAGCTAAGCAGACTTCTCATTATTATTACTATTATCCTAATTTTATACAAGTATAGACTGAGCCTAGGAGAGGAGGGTATCTCTGAGTCTGTTGTCCACCCTGAAAATCCAGGGTTCTGCCTGGCTCACACATAGACAAAACCTAATTTCCTATAATGGATCCTCTCCTGGAAAACTGTAGATTACTTCACGTTTCCAGATGCTCTAGATATGCAAAGGCAACTCTGACGCCTTTTGGTGATGTGGGTGCTCATCTTCGTGGCCCAGGTCTGCTGGAAATGGCAGGTTCCTTTCACGTGAAAGTTGTGCATAGAGACCAGAGTAGGGTCCCCAAGCAGAGCTCAAGGAGGCTCAAGGAGGCTCAAGGAGGCTCCACCTAATTCCCACAGATCTCTTCTCTGAACTCCCCCACTTCCTGTGAAGAGGGCACCCAGATTCTCAGCAACCTCTGACCTTGCGTGACTGAGCCTTTCTTCTCAGTCCGGATAGGAAGCTGGCTAATGGGAGCTGCATTCTGCATTATTGTACACCCTTGTGCTGGCCTTGGGATCACTGCCCCACCTAGGCTTTATATTATCATCCATGAAAGAGAAGTGGTATGAGCTCTGTTTGGTGATAGAGGGGTGCGGGGTGGTGCTTTGAAATGGCCAACTGAGATCCTGAGGCCACTAGTGGCTGCCAATGTGTGAGTGAGTCTCTGAAAGTCCCAGCTGGGCTCCAGCCCAGGATTCCAGAGAGATGCAGGATGACAGACCAGGTTTTGTAAGCAAACCAGGATAGGGACATGGAAAGGGAAGATCAATGAGAGCAGGGGAGCCAGAGCAGTTGTAGAATGAGTCATGGTTATCATTTGTTTTGCTTTTGAATCATAAAAGAAAAAATGAAGCTAAAAAGATACTTTGTGAGAAGTGAAAACACTGTCTCCTTACTACTTTTCTCAGATTCTTTTCCCAGAGGCAACCGTTTTTTTTTAATCATTTCTGATTTTAGTTTTCCTGGTGGCTATCAGTTTATCAATTTTTATGTTCGATTAGCAGATTTTCTCCATTTGTATACTTTAGAGAGTGTCTGTTGGTTGTCTGCTTTATAGAAACATTTTTGATTTCCAGAAACAGTTTCATTTTCTTCGATTGCTCTTTTTTTGTTTAAAGATACACTTATTTGCATCATTTCTCTTTCCTCCATGGTTAATTTTTCAGTTGTTTATCTTGGTTTTTCTTATATACAAGTTGATGTTTGACACTATAATTTCAAGTGGAAGTCTCTGGTAATTGTTGTACGTGACGGGTTTGTTTTACTGCTATTTTGTTGCTCCATTTCCCCACAGGCCTCTCCGGGAAGAGACCTGCCTCGGGCTGTGGACCGTGGCCACCCATGGGCAGGCTTAGGTTTAGGAGCTCTTGCACGGGAAGATCTGAAGGCTCGGCAGTTCTATAGTTTCCAAAACAGAGGTCTGACTTGGAACAGAGAGAGCTTTGGTGCAGGGGTCAGCAGACTTTTTCTGTAAGAGCCAGATAGCAGATATCTTAGGCTTTGTAAGCCATGTGATCTCTGTCACAACTGCTCAATGTTGTTGCAATAGAGAAGCAGCCATAGATAACAAGTAAACAAAAGGGAGTGCTGTGTTCCAGTAAAACCATATTATGGACACGGAAATGTGAGTTTCATATAATTTTCACATGTCATGAAATATTCTTTTGGGTTTTTTTTAAACTAAAATACAAAATGGGCAGTGGGCTTACCAAACTCTCCTTTAGTGTGTGGTTTGTTGTTTCCACAATGGGACTGTTTCTGAGTGGCAGAGTCCTCTATACCCATCTGCCTGGCTTCCCAACCTTAATACCCTTTTGAGCATTTGTTTGAACCTTATTTTTAAAAAGTTCAGTCATTTGTTTGGAATTGTGCAGTATATAGCCTTTTCAGGCTGGCTTCTTTCACTTAGCCATATGCATTTATAGTCGTCTCCCGTTACCCGCCAGGGATACCTTCCAGGACCCCTGGTGGATGCCTGAAACCTTGGACAGTACTGAACCCTATATGTACTATGTTTTTTCCTGTATGTACCTATGATAAAGTTTAATTTATAAATTAGGTACAGAAAGAGATTAACAGCAATAACCAATAATAAAATGGAATGGTTATAATGTTTTTACATTTTTATCTTTAATTCATCAAGAATTATTTTTGTATTTAATCGGAAGTAGGATTTACCTGTAGTTTATTCCAACTACGTAGCCAGCTACCTCAACAGTTTATTGAATAGTCTTTTCTGCACTGACTGACATTGCCTCCTATTTTATACATCAAATTTTCATTTATATTTGGGTCTTTGATCTCTTTTCTGTTTTATTTATTTGCATGGTTGTTGTGCTGGTGTCATGTTATTTGAATAGCTTATAATTTAGCTTCATAAAGTTTTGAATATCTAGATGTAGAGCAGATCCTCTTTACAGTTGTTTCAAAATTTTCCTCATAGTCATTCTTCCATATGAACTTTGGAACCATTTTTTTTGAGGTCTAAAACAAATCAAATTTGAATTCTGATTGAAATGCATTACATTTATAAATCATTTTGGAAAGGGCTGACATTTATAATGCATGAAATCTTCCCCAAACATGGGCTGTTTGTATTTGTCCAGCTCTTAAACTGATGAGTAAAGTCTTGAATACTCTTTACTCCTCTTGCTAAACTTACACTTGGCTTTTTACATTTTCTTGTTAATAATAGCTAGTAAGTTGCTAAACAGTATGGTAGTAATAGCATAAGAATGGGATATTTTTCTATTTTTGTTTCTGTCTTGTTACTCTAAATAGAAAGGAAAAATACTGACTTTTTGTATTTGTATCTTGTATTACCCAGTTTAATAAAGTCTCTTATAATAGTGTTTTATCTGTTCTACATTTATATTACATGAAAATAATGTATTTTCATCATATAATTCCTAATATTTGTATTTGTTATTTTCATTTGTTAGTCCGTGTTTCTAAAACCAAACTGATTAATAGTGATAGGCATTCTGTCTTGTTCCTGATTTTTTTCTAGGTATGCCTTTAGTTTTTTTATTTTTATTTTACTGTGGTAAGAACACTTAACATAAGAGCTGCCCTCTGAACAGATTTTTAAGTATACAGTAACCATAGGCACAGTGCTGTGCAGCAGATTTCTAAGACTTAATTCATTCTGCATTATTGTACACCCGTCAGACATCTGCTCCCATTTTCTCTCCTCCAGCCCCTAGCAACCACCATTCTGCTCTCTGCTTCTATGAGCTTGACTATTTTAGGTACCTTACGTAAGTAGAATCCTACAGTATTTGTCCTGTGACTGGCTTATTTCACTTAGCATAATGTCCTTAAGATTCATCCATGTTGTCAAATATTGCAAGATTTCCTTTTTTTTTTAATGCTGAATAATATTCTATTGTATGTATGTGTGTGTGGTGGGGGATTTACACACACACACACCACATTTTCTTTATTCATCCATTGGTGGATATTTAGGTTGTTTCCATATCTTAGCTCTTGTGAACACTGCTGCACTGAACATGGGAGTGCAGATATCTCTTTGAGATCTTAATTTCACTTCTTTGAATAAATACCTAGAAGTGGGATTGCTGATCATAAGGTAGCTGTATTTTTAATTGAGGAACTCCATACTGTTTTCTATAACAATTTATATTTCTACCAACAGTGCAGAAGGATTCCCTTTCCTCTACATCCTCACCAACACTTGTTATTTATTTATTTGGATAATAGTTATCTTAACAGGGGTGATGTGGGATCTGTTTCATTGAGTTTTGATTGGCATTTCCCTGATTAGATTAGTGACCTTGAACACTGTTGGCCATTTATGTGTTTGAAAAGTTTGTTCAAGTCTTTAGCTCATTTTTAAATCAGGTTGTTAGTTTTTTGCTCTTGAGTTGTAGGAGCTTATGTATTTTAGAAATTAACCACTTATCTCAGTGGTCCCCAACCTTTTTAGCATCAGTGACCAGTGTCCCTATGAGAATCTAATGCCTGATGATCTGAGGTGGAGCTGAGGCAGTGATGCTAGTGCTGGGGAGAAGCTGCAAATATAGATGAAGCTTCGCTCGCCCACCCACCGCTCACACCCTGCTGTGGGACTCGGTTCCTAAAAGGCTGCAGACCAGTACTGGTCTGTAACCCAGGGGTTGGGGACCCCTGCTTTATCTGACAGATGGTTTGCAAATATTTTCTCCCATTCCATATATTGTCTTTTCATTCTATTCATTGTTTCCTTTGCTGTACAGACCTCTTTTGAATTTGATATTTGCTTTTAGTGTCTGGTAAATATTATTTATTATATCATTGTCCTATGTTACTTAGAGATTTTTTAAAAATCTCTAAGGAATGGCTGTTAAAATTTGGCAATAGGTGCCAGTGCTTTGGGGGCATTTATTGATTATTTTCTGTGGCTCCCCAGTCTTAATTTGAAATATAATTATTCGAACTATCCTTGCATTTCTGGAACCAACCCTAATAGATCGTAGTATATAATTTTTTTAATATATTGCTGGGGCTCTGAATAATAATACTTAAATGTACTTAAAAGTTATATTTGTCTATATTTTGTTTTATTGCTACTTTCACAGAAGGCATCAAGAGCTTTCTATCGTTTTCTATAACCTGAAATAGTAAAAGGAATAGGATAGGAATTATATGTTTCTTAAGAGATGGACTGAGTCACTTGTGAAGTAAGTGTCTGGGCCTTTTGTCTCTGCCTTTTCAGTTTCCTTTGTAACTCCTCTTCTCTCCAGGTTTTTACCTGTTTTTCAGTCAAGCTGAATCACTTATATTTTGCTAAAAAATTATTCTAAATTTTCAAGTGTTTTGCCTTAACATTGCCATTGCCAGCGATGGTGTGGTTCTTCCTCATTCTCACTGTGGATGAGTCTTTTTATATAATACCACTGGATTCAGTTTGCCAACATCTATTTAAAATTTTTTGGATCTATATATATATATATGATTCTAATAAACTTGCAGCATCCAAGCAGTTGCTCTATTTTTTCATTTATTTTTTATTACTTTTTAAGTTTATTGTGGTAACATTGGTTGATACAATTATATAATTTTCAGATGTACATTATAATTTAACATCTGTATATTCTATTGTGTGTTTACCACCCAAAGGCCAGTTTCCTTCAGCTACCATATATTTGATCTCCTTTACCCACTTCGCCCTCCCTCTACTGCCCTATATTCGACCCCCTTTACCCTCTCTAACTCCTCCCACCTCCCCCTCTTCCTACCATCTGGTAACCACTAGTCCATTGTCCATGTTCATAAATCTCTGTTTGTTTGTCCTGTTCATTTGTTGCTTTTAGGTTTATATCCCACATATAAATATCATGTGATTTTCAACTTTTGCTGTCTGGCTTCTTTCGCTTAGCATGATTGTCTCGAGGACCATCCGTGTTGTCGCAAATGGCAGTATTTCATCTCTTCTTATAGCTGAGTAATGTTCCATTGTATATGTGTACCACAGCTTCTTTATCCAATCATCTATTGTAAGACACTTCAGTTGTTTCCATGTCCTGGCCACTGTGAATAGTACTGCCATGAACATTGGTGTGCAAATATCTTTATGGATATGACTTTTTAAGTCTTTAGGGTAAATACCCAGTAGAAGGATTGCTGGATCATATGGTAGATCAATTCTTAGTTTTTTGAGGAACCACCATACTGTTTTCCATTGTGGCTGTACCATTTTCAGTCCCACCAGCAGTGTATGAGGGTCCCTTTTTCTCCGCATCCTCTCCAGCATTTGTTATTACTTTGGACCTATATTCTGGAATACATTTTTAAAATATTTATTTGTAAAGGTCACGACAGTATTTTTGAAAAAAATAAAAGCATGGCAACATTTTGCAGTCACAGATTAATGACAGATCGGGACACCACTAACATTGCAGTGGTACACAGCTTAAGAGTCAGAGTTCTGAAAGTCCTGTTTGAAAAACCAATTGTGCCCACTCCTGTTTCCCCAACCCCAGATGAATCAATGTTCCCCAAATTAGGGGATAATTAGGCATCTAAATGTTAGGCATCCCTTGAGTTCTATGGAAGATGGTTCACTTTCTTCCTGCTGCCTCCACAAAGGGTAGCCTTCCTGTCCCCAAATACTGACATGATTGTTTATATTATTATAATTATATAAATGCTTTTCACCGCTAAGCCATGAAGTAAACTAACATTTTGCTTTTCCTAAAGTCAATAATTATTCTTTTAAAAATTTTTCGTTTTCTTTGTTCTCACAATATTTGTCTCTATGTTTTATTCACTGTCCCTTGGAGAATCCTAGGGTTTGAGTTTGTCTTTCTCTAGCATTGAAGTATCTGGTGTCACCAAAAGCCTCTGACTGCCCCCGGATCCCTGGCACATTGAGTGGAGTCAGGGCCCCCAGGCCATCACTGGTCAGTGTGTTCCTGTCCCCTGTTGTGCTGGCTGCTGCTTTCCATTCTGAAATAGGAAGAGGAGTTTAAGTGCTCATTTGCCCACCTCATGCCACTAACCACCAGTAAATATTCCATATTTTCCAAAACTCACCATCTGCCCATCACTAGTGCTGAGTTCTGTGCTAGTGATGGCATGTTAGCTGTTTGAGCAACAGAAATTAATTGTTGATTTGTGACCTGAGGGGGAAGAAAGAAACTAGTGGAAGAATACTGAGATAATATGATAGGAAAAAGAGATCAAGATCATGATAAAAAGATAACGTGATAGAAAAAGGATCGTAGAAACCCAAAATTGGAACGAAACCTTGTGTGGCAGCTCTGGGAAACGTGGGAACAGAGGTTAGTGGATTGGTTCTCTGATGCCCTGTCTTAGTCTACCGTGGGCCCTCTGGCACCAGGGCCCTGGACTTCTCTGATCCAGCTCTCAGAGTCCTGCGAGGAACCATGGAACCAACCCAGCCTGGACCACCAGTTTCCTCTGGGCATAGGCCTGGGCCAGGGCTGGCCAGTGGTTGTGCTACTAGGTCCACTGCAGGGAAGGGATGTGCTGAATGGGGCAGCTGCAGCTATGCAGCATAAACTATTCATATCCACAAGCCCCCATTGGCTTATATGTGAAACTGGACTACCCAGGACTGAGCAAGATGTTGTGTGTGGAGGTTCTCTGTATGCAGTCATGGATGGCCAGGTCCCGGGTGGGGTGTGTAGTGTTGGATCCTGCCTCCCTGCCTAGCCTTCCTCAGCTGAGCTGTAGGTAACCACTGGAAGTGCTTCTGACATGGAGCCAGTGTGCATGCCTGACCTCACCCTAGGTCTTCCTGGAGATGCCACCTAGAATTCCTAGTCTCCACATGCCCATGCTCAGCCACCACTGTCCTTCTCCAGGACACACCTGTCTCCTCTACCATGAAACACCACTTCTGTGGTGTTCCCAGCCACACTGTGGGTCCTGTGAGGGTGGGGATTGGGGCCTTTTCACCTGTGTGTCCTCAGTGTGCACTGGAGATTGTTGAATGAATGAAAAGAAAGTGTTTATGAAATAAATGGGCCCTATATAAGTTCTTATATTAATTTTGTTGTTGCCCAGGGCACAGAGATCTGGTCGAGTCCTCTACAGCCTGCTGCTCTGGTGAATTTGGTGACCTACCCTCGGCTACAGCTGGTTGTCACTGTGGACGAGCGGGGACTAATCAAAGTGTGGGAAGCAGAAAATGGGTGGGAGTCAGCTTCCTTCTTTCTGCCTACACACTCATCTGCATTGGAGGCCTGTGACCATCCAGAGGGCCCCCTCCTGCTGGTGAGTGACCTGGCTCTCAGGAGCCTCTGTAGGTGCTAGCTGTCTTATAGCCAAGGGGACAAAAGTTGGAGTGTGGGCCCGCAGGGAGTTGGAACATTGGGTGGGTTATCAAGTGTTGCAACCTCAGAGTAAGGCTGGGCTGAGGGTAAACAGTAATTGCACCTGCTACAGTTCAGCACTCCAGTTACCTGGTGATAAATGAAAATTCTTTTCTGGAATTTTGTTTCATTTTTTTTTTTTCCTCCTCTTTAATCTTCCCACACACACTTCCACCCCCGACCTATGGATTTGCCATTTTTCCCTTAAGAACTGGATCTCTGAAGGCGGGGCATCTCCTCCCACATGCTTGGGGCATGCCCCCGGGCCTGGCACTCCCAGGGCCTGGCACCCCCGGCACACTCGGCACACTTGGCACACTTGGCACACTCAGGCCTGGTGCACCCGGGGTAAGGTCCGTGGCTCCACCTGGGGTGCAAACCCAGGACCTTCTGCATGTAAAGCAGACGTGCTAACCACTACACTATGGAGCCACCACTATTTGTTTTCAAATACAGCATTCAGCACATGCTTAAAGCTGACTAGGCACGTGAAGAGTTAAGATAGTACCAACTAGAACTGGATAAACAGACAATGTTAAGAGAGGCACAGAGGCCTCAGATATTGCAGTTATTACAGACTCCAAAACACCTGTGGTTGCTATGATCGGGGAGATAAATTTTAGCAGAGAACTTAAAGCTATAAAAAATGACATACTGGATTTAGAAGAGAACCAAGCAAACATTCTAGAGCAGAAAAACTGAATAACAAAGCTCAAGAGATCAGTGAATGGATTCGATAGCAGGGTGGACAGTGAAACCACACAGAAATTGGGGAGGTGAGGAGAGCTTGTGGCCACTGGCAATGTTCTGTTTCTTACCTTGGGTAGTGACGTGAATATTTGCTACGTTTGTGTTTTGTGCAATATTCCATATACATGTTATATACATCAATTAAAAAGTTAGAACACAGGATTAGTGAACTGAAAGATAAAAGAAATTATCTAGAAAGAAATGGGGCTATCAAGAGTGGTAAATGTGGAAGAGAGGGTAAGAGACTTGGACAAGTGCTTTTCAGATATTAATGGGACACACGTCACCTGTGTATCTTGTCTAAATGCAGGTTCTGATTCAGTGGGTCTCTGGGGATGCCTGAGATACTGAGTTTTTAACAAGCTTCTTCAGAATATCAGTGCTGCCAGTCCACAGACCACCCTTTCAGTAGCAGGGCCCTAAAGGATCCATGAAAAAGTCTAATATTTGATATCCCAGGGGTAGGTGAGGCACATTTAGCACTGCTTTTCTGTAGTCCTGATGATGAAGGATGGCCTGGCTAGGAGCCAAATCCCTGCTCACTTCTTTAAAATTTTGTGAAAATACTATTTCACTGTGTATGTTTCTGTAGAAAAGTCTACTGGTACCCTGACTTACTTTCCTTGTTAGACACTCGAATTTTTTAAATCAAAGGCCTAAAGGATTTTTAAAAATCTTTAAAGTCTAGTAGTTGTGACATGTCTGCAGTGATCATGCTGGGTCAGCTTATGCAGGAACATATGAGTCCTTTCAATACATAGATTCAGGCTTTCTTTTATTTCTAGAAAGTTTTGCTGTACATGAATTTTAAATATTATTCTGTTATTAAATTTTTCCTTTGTAGGAACTTCAGTCATGTGTTTATTAGACCTAGTTGACTATCTTGTTGGACACTTTCTGATTCTTTTTAGCTCTTTATTCCATTTTTGTGTTCTGTTTTCTTTCTTTTTAGTACCCTTATTTGTTCAGTGGAATGTTTTCTCTCTTAGGCTTATTGTTAATCTTCATTCTTGAGACAACTTTTTCTTCAGTATCTTTCCTAAATTAATTTAACTCTTATGTCACATATTGGTGTTTTGTCCTTTTTCCTTCTGAGTGTTGAGTTTCTGGTTCAGGCTGTCCCTTCATATCTGCAAAATCTTATTTTATGATATTTAACTCATGTTGGGTGTGGCTACAGGTCTTTGATAACTGGTTGTCCTTTGGAGGGATAGTTTTATTAGCTAAAACATGTCGCTTCTCACTTTTTCTTTTCATGACCTTGTTTGAATGTTGCCATCTTCTGTGCATTTTTAAATTTTTGTATTTTCTTGGACAGTAAGAACAGATGTTTTTACGTAAGTTGAACAGAAGTCCAGATTGAGTTCCATCTGTAAATGTCTGTGGAAAGATGTTCTTCTAAAACAGTAGGTGAAGGATGGGCTATTCAAGAAATGGAGCACTTGACCATTATGAAAGAGAAACTAAGCTACTCTCACATCACTCCATTTGTTGAAATACATTTAGAATAATTAAAAACAAAATGCAAAAGGCAGTTACAAATTATCTGAGGAATAGATACATGGTTTATAATATCAACCTGGGATGTGCAAGGCCTTGCTAGGCAAGACAAAACCTAGAATCAAGAAAAAAATACACAGATTTGATTTAACTAAAAAGTTTAAAAAGTCTGAACTAGAGTATTATAAAATTAAGACACATGAAAATTGTGAGAAAACACTGTATCTTATTTAACAAAGCATTAATATCACTTTATTTGAAGCATAGAAATCTAGTAGAAAAATAGGTAAAGAAAGGATTTCTGGTCAAGGTGGTAGAGTAGGTAAATGCTGAAAACACTGTATCTTATTTAACAAAACATTAATATCAGATTATTTGAAGCATAGAAATCTAGTAGAAAAATAGGTAAAGAAGGATTTCTGGTTAAAGTGGCAGAGTAGGTAAATGCTGTGCTGGCCTCCTCTCATGACAACATCAGAAATACAACTAAAATACAAAGCAGCCATCATGGAGAATCGGCTGAAGTCTAACTGAACGGAAGTCCTACAGCTAAGGACATACAGAAGAAGCCATATCAAGACTGGTAGGAAGGGTGGAGACATGGAATGGGCTAGTCCCACACCCGTGCGAGGCAGCTAAAAATGTATCAGCTGTGGAGGTCCCTTCCGAGGAGCAAGGGGCCCAGCCCCACAGCAGACTCCCCAGCCCAGGGTTCCAGTGCCAAGATGAGGAGTCCCCACAACTTCTGTCTGTGAAAACTAGCAGAGACTGTGGCTGAGTGACATGGAGGGCAGCAGGACTCTCAGGCACTCCTCTTATAGAGCCCATGCACAGACTTACTTGCTGATGGACTCACTTGATCTGAACTCTAGCGCTGGGGCAGTTGCTTGAAAGGTGCTAGGGACATACAGGGAGAAACTGAGTTGTCTGGCTTCAGGGTGAAGGCTGGAGGGGCAGATTTCTCCCAGACAGAAGTGCTGGCAAGCCATTGTTCCTTTGTTGAGCCCTCCCCCTAGCCAAGCATGTGGACGCAGGCGGGCACCATATCGGAATCTCCATTACTTGGCTAACAATGTTCATCCTGCCCTGGTGATTCTCTGAGATCCTGCCCCACTCAACTGGTGGGCCTACCCAAGCTGCTTCCAGTGGCTTTTCCATACAAACGACCTGTTTTGGGTCATGATGCAGACTTTCCTAAAATCTCCAAAGGTTCATGTACCCCAAACAAACAACATCTGACCTCAACATGTCTTGTACCTCTTGCTGAGCATCCCCAAGCCCAACACTGGCAGAAGCCAGGCTCGGTTTGAAGCTTGGCCTCTCCTAGGCGTCTCCAAGCCCAGTGTGGGTGGCGGCCATCTTCATATTTTTTTGTGGCTCATTCCAGGTGGCCCTGGGCAGGGCACAGGCTGAGGCTGAACTTGAGATGTGGCAGGGCCCCTTCCAGGAGGTACTGGGGTTGGCATCATGGTGGCTGGCTTTGGAAGTAACCCAAGTACTACCTGGGGCTGCATCCAAGGATGACACACCTAAAGGGCCAACTAGGTAGACAACAGAGCTCCCACTGAAGCAAATACTGCTTTGTAGGGTCAGGCCCTGCACAGTAGCTCCTCTACTGTAGTCACGGTCAGTCCTCACAACCATTCAGCTCATGGGTCAGTCCCTCCCACTGACGTGCAAACAGCAGTTAAAGCTCAACTACAATAGGAGGGCACACATGACCCACATGGGACACCAGTAGCACCTGGCTCAGATGACCAGGGAGATTGCACCATGGGGCCCCACAGGACACCTACTACATAAGTCCACTCTACTAAGACCAGGACTCATAGCAGATCTTCCTAATACATAGAAACAAAAACAAGGAGGAAGGCAGAATGGGGAGACAGAGAAACATGTCCCAAATGAAAGAAAGAACATACTCCAGAAAAAGAACTAAACAAAATAGAGACAAGCAATCTACTAAATGCAGAGTTCAAAACACTGGTTGTAAGGATACCCAATGAACTCAGAACTTCAACAGAGATAGGAAACTTAGAAATAGAAAACAAAAAAGAACCAGTCTGAAATGAAGAATACAATAACTGAAATAAAGAATACATTAGAGGGAATCAACAGTAGATTACATGAAGCAGAGGATCAAATTAGTGATTTGGAAAAGAAGGTATCACAGAACACCCAACCAGAACAGCAACAAGAAAAAAGGAAAAAAAAATGATGATAGTTTAAGGGGACTCTGGGACAACATCAAGCATACCAACATTTACATCATAGGGGCATCAGAAAGAGAAGAGTGGGAACAAGGAATTGAAAACCTATTTGAAGAAATAATGATGGGAAACTTCCCTAACATGGTGAAGGAGATAGACATACAAGTCCAGGAAATGCAGAGAGCCCCAAACAAGATGAACCCAAACAACCCCATGCCAAGACATAATTAAAATGCCAAAGGTTAAAGGCAAAGAATCTTAGAAGCAGCAAGAGAAAATCATCTAGTTATCTAAAAAGGAGCTTCCCATAAGACTGTCAGCTGCTTCCTCAACAGAAACTTTGCGAGCCAGAAGGGATTGGCACAAAATATTCAAAGTGATGAAAAGCAAGGACCTACAATCAAGATTACTCTACCCAGCAGAGCTATCATTTAGAATTGAAGGACAGATAAGGAGCTTCCCAGACAAGAAATAGCTAAAGGAGTTCATCGCCACAAAACCAGTATTATAAGAAATGCTAGAGGAACTTCTTTAAGAAGAACAACAAGAAAAAGATCAAAAATAAAAAAATTAAATGGCAATAACTACATATCTATCAAGAATTACTTTAAATGTAAAATGATTAAATGTTCCAATCAAAAGATATAGGGTTGCTGAATGGATAGGAAAACAAGACCCTTACATACATTGCCTACAAGCGACTCACTTCAGTTCAAAAGATACACACAGACCGAAAGTAAAGTGATGGAAAAAGATATTTCGTCAAAATGGAAACAAACAAAAAAAGCCTGGGTAGCAATACTTGTACGAGACAAAATAGACTTTAAAACAAAAGCTATAACAAGAGACAAGGAAGGACCCAGTAATCCCACTTCTGGGTATTTATCTGAACAAACCCAAAACACTACTTTGAAGAGACATGTGCATCCATGTTTGGGAAGAAACTCAACATTACTTTGAAGAGATGTACATTCATATGTTAATTGCTACATTATTTACAATAGCCAATATATGGAGGCAACCTGGGTGTCCATCAATGGATGAGGAGATAAAAAAGAAATGGTACATATATGCAAGGGAATATTACTCAGCCATAAAAAAAAAAAATGAAGCCGTGTCATCTGCAACAACATGGATGGACCTAGAGGGTATTGTGCAGAATGGAGTAAGTCAGACAAAGACAAATGTTATATGATTTCACTTACATGTGGAATCTAACAAAATAAATGAACAAACAAGACAGGAACAAACTCATAGATACAGAGAACATTATGATGGTTGACAGAATGGGAGGAAGGTTTGGAGGTGTGGGATGGAAAAGGGGAAGGGAGTCAGAAGTACAAACTGGTAGTTACAAATAGTCATGGGGATATAAAGTATAGCATAAGGAATATAGTCAATAATATTGTAATAAAGGTTGATATAAGTTAGATGAAAACTAGGTATTTTTATACATGGCAAATAAGACTATAGATTGAAACTTTTTTTAAAGCTTGTTTGTTTTTTTTCCTATTAAAAGTTTTAAATCTGATACTTTTTGACCTATTCCAGTTTTAGGGCTCACTCATGAGGAAATATTGGCATTGCTGCAGAAACTTGCAAGTAGGAGTGCTTATTGCAGCAGTCATTATTCCTGTAAACAAAATCTGTAAACAACCTAAATTTTCATTAAAATAAGTAAAAAGTCATGGGAAAATGTCCTCTGATGTGGAGAGATTCCCAAGGAGTATTTTACGCTGAAAACAGAAAAGGCACACTGAAGATAACACTTGAGCGTGATGGGTAGAAAGGGTGCTGGCAGCCACACCTTGGACTTCTGTTGGGAGGGAGGACAGGGTGTGCTCTGAGATTTATGCATTGTTTGAAGGAATTCATTTTTGACTTAAAAAACTGGTATTGCGCCCCAGTGAGGAGGCAGTTACACAGTGGCTACCTGCTCCTCAGGAGCGGACATAAGGACACAGATAGTTACTGCACCCTTGCATTACAGGCAGCTTCTGCTGACGGAGCACTCTACACGCTGACCATACCCCGGCTGCAACTGATGTCCAGGGTGAGCATGTTCCCGAACCACCCTGCCAGTCTGCTCTGCTCTCCTGACCACCAGTGGGTGTTTGCATCGACCCAGAACTCAGACCTGGGTCCCAAGGTTAGTGCTGGGCTGTGTCCCTTGCCCCAGGGGCCAGGCTTTGTGTGTGCAGGTATTGGGTTCTGTGCCTGGTCCTGCCAAATGCATCTGAAAGGGCAGCTTCTTATGCAGGACCAAGTCTGCAGCCACTCAGGGCTTCCAACTAGGCAGAGGTGGTCCCGGCCTCTCCCCAGAGCCTCTGCTCTTTCCAGGCTGCCGTGTTGCCCACAGGCCGGAAAGGGTCAGTTGCCCAGCAGGAGAGGGCAGAGTTAGTTTTGAAGAAGGTTGGAGCCTTAGGGACATCCCAGTAGAAGAGCTCAAAGGACATTTGGTGGGCTGAGAACAGAGCTTCAGTGAGAATGAGGACTAGAGAGTCCAGGCCAGGCATGAAGAGATGCTGACAGTGTGAGACAGCATTGGTACCTCGAGAGGGCACAGCAGGAACCACACGTGGGCCACGTGCCCATCATGTGGCTGGCCTGTGTGACTGAGTAGCTCTACCAGTGCTGCCTGTGCCCCACAACCTGGGAATAGTCCCACGATTTGTGGAGTCAGAGATGTCCAGCCTGAGTGCCAGGAACCAAACTGGAAAATTAGACCAGAGTTGGAAGCAGACAGCTGGAGAGGGTCTTGAGATGTGCTGAAGGTGTGTGGATGAGTAAAGGCAGGAGGAGAAAACAGGGGCAGAGCAGGACAAAATCGGCAGTGCTGGGACATGGCAGCCAGGGGAGGTGACAGGTTGAGGAGGAGCAGCTGGAGGAGAGAGGAAGCAGAAAAGGTGGGGGTCAGCAGCCACCAGGAGGGGGACATCCTGACAGAGCAGTTCCAGGGACCAAGAGGAGGCATTTGGAACCAGACTGCCAGAAGATAGGAAGGGAATATGGAAGTAGACATTGGAGGCAAAAGCAAGACAGTGATGTGTATCTGCTCAAAAACAGAGAAGTCGTCCACTGGATTCATTCACCCCTTGCCCTCACTGGGACTTGTGTGCCAAGATACCTTCAGGGGCCAAACTCGGGCTGGGATTAACCTTACCTGGTCTGAGCCGTCTTGGAAGGAGGTCCAAAAGTGGCACGACTGCCCCAGTAAGGTCATTGTGGGTCCCTGGGCAGAGTGGCCAGGAGGGGCTTTCAGAGTGCTCCTGGGTCAGAGAAGTCCCTCTGTCACCAGCAATGAGACCATGCAGTGGTGTTCCCCAGGTGTTCCACATGCGCTCCTTGCTGTGTCCATTGGAAGATGAGGCTCCTGTCTCCACTGCTCTCCCCATCTGGCTGACTTCCAGAGCCTGCTGGGCCCCCAACAAGGCAGCTAGGCTAATGGTGATGCATAGAAATGACAACGGCATGCAGTTGGTTATCACCACCTATGAGCTAGGAGCCAAGAAGTCCAGGAATGGAGTGGACATTCTAGGTAAGGATCCTGTATCAGGCAGGACCTGTGGGTCTGCATGTCACCACCATTTCATATGATTCTTCAAGCACAGATTTCTCATGTTTCCATTGGGGCACCTTTTCTTTCCTCTCGGTGAATACAGTGACCCAACAAATGTTTCCTTGTGATACTACATACTGGTTGGGTGGCTGAACACCTGTTGCATGTCAGGCCCTTTGTGTAGCCCTGAGATTCAGACATTAACTATTGTCCACTCACAGTCTCCCCTTTCTTAACGTCTTCCTGCTCCCATTCATCTCTGCCTCTTTGCACAACTGTATCAAAGGCAGTGTTCTCAGCACTGAGTGCACACAAAGATGAATAAAAGGCAAAACTATCTCTTACCCAAGGAGCTCTTAGTCCAGTAGGAAAATAAGACCCACAACCCTCTCCTTCCCTGTCTCAACCCCACATCACTCTGACAGGCTTTCCCTTTGGTCCTTAGCATTTTTTCTTTTGTATTATGTTAATTTGTTTTCATATTATCATTTGATCATAAATTTTACTCTGAGCTTCCTGGCAGCTGAGCAAAAAGGGGAAACAGGATGTGTAATATAATCCCTTGTCTGATACAAGAAAGCGCATGAATTCTTCAAAAGAGGTAATTTTTTCTTCCTGGTGCTAAACTCCATTAGGAAGTCATCAAATTGATTTTTTTGTTTCTTTTACAAGGAATGCTATACACTGTAAAAGACAGTATCTTCAACAATAGTTTTGGGCAAATGTTGTAAATGTCATAGTTCTTCTTACATCACCCTGTGGCCATTTCTTACATCATCCTGTCATAGATGGAGAAGGGTAGAAGGAAGGGTATTCATTTGCCCTATTCTCTAGATGTTACTACATGCCAGATGCTGTTACTTCCACATGCATAGTGCCCCCTTTAAGGCATCATACTCAGTATGTTAGAGCCAGTGGACGGAAGATTTAGGGAGTAAATGCATAGGTCAGGATTGAATGCAGGTGTAACTGAAGCTGTTGCTTTTTTCAGTGTACTGCATCATCTTAGGTGAGGCATGTCTATTCCAGACTCCAGCTGCTATCAAGACATGACAATCTGTTTTTATTTCAAAAAGTACAACAGATCGCAAGTTTCATCCTGCCAGACACCATGATGCCTCCTCATCTCATGAAGGGTCATAGCTCCCAAGTGATTCTACTGGTGTCTGGGTCGGAGCTCGTGCTTTTTACCATACATGGCCTGCAGCTAGCAGCCTTCCAGGACCACCAGAAGCCCATCACGTCCATGTGGGTGGTGAGTGTGGTACCCATCCTGCCCATGTCTCAGATCCCACCTTGGGAGCCCACATCTCCAGCCTCATGTAGCTTTTCATTTCAAGGACCAGAGCCGAGTCATCACCTCTTCCTTTGACCTCTCCTTGCGAGTCTACATGTGGAATAAGGACAATAAATTTCCTGTCCTCAAGAGCTGTTATCACTTGCTCGGGGGTTCTCACCGATGGGCCAGGTAATTGCTTCTGATTCCTTCACTTTGCCAGTAAGACAGCCTCTCCTGGCCTCCCAGCAGTACCTTTGTAAGGATATCATTGGAATGGATGTGACTGGGACATAGGGCTTAGCCCAGCTTTCCCCTTACTACTTGGGTACCCAAGGAAAGTCACTGGTCAGAATATGTTTCTGCCTTAAAAAAAAAAAGATGCTACGCATCATCTCCGTGATCCCCATTAATGACAAAACCACCACCCGTGCACACAGTTGGCATCACCCACATTTCCCAGATGAAATAGAGGCTCAGAGATGTGGCTATTTAAGGACACACAGCGAAGCCAGGGGTGGGCCCTGACATAGTCCCTCAGCCTGGCTCTCACCCTCCCTTCATGACCTGCACAATCCTGAATTCATTTACCAAACCCAGGTGGCGGTGGGAGTCGGGGCAAGATTGTAAAAGTCCCCAAAAAAGGGGATTATGCATTTAAAACATATTTTGCATTATGTTTTAAAATTAGTATCTTGGAATCATTTATGTTCTTTCTTGCCAGAGTAAGTTCTACAAAGAGGACAGGGCTTACAGATTTTTTATTCTAGTTGGCTTACTTACAGCAAGATGACTGACCTCATAGTTGTCAATTACTTATCTTGAGATATGGGGTAAATTCAGCCTCCTGTGATAAGCATCATACAATCTAAATAGAAAAAACTACAATGCCCCAAACCATATATTTCAAAAATTACAGATTTCTGTAACAAACTTCCCTAGTTTCTGCATTTTAAATTAGTAGTTGTTTGAAGATAATTATTAAGGCAACCTCTTAATGCAGGAGAGTCTTAGTTCTTTTCAGTAAATAAACTCAACTTTCTAATAAGATAAAGAATTATAGAGATTCAACTTAAATTTGATGAGAATTGGCCTGTGAGTAGTTTTTAACCCTTTCTTAACTTTGAAAACAAAGAGTGAAGCCCAACTCAGCGCCCTACATTCTGAAAAGAATTTGCATCAACTTCTTCACTCAAAATTCCTTCAACTCTTTTGAAGTTGGAGAGCTGGGCTGAACCAAAGTATTTTGGAGCCATTACTGTCCATGTCCACCTTTGCAAGTGTGTTTTTGCTAGTTTACACTCACACATTTGTAGCTACGTTCCACTGCACTTAGAAGAGGCATCATGGCCTTGCTCTTCCGTGTCTGCTTTTGGTCAGAGGCCAGCCTTTGTAAAGCAAGCCCCTCAAGCAGTGGAGTTCCCTAATATATACCCTACAACCACTTGTGACTCTATTAGTAATGATTATCTTCCTTCAGTGGCAGGAAAACTTTTCCTCTTCTGGGGGAAACATGGGAGTAAACACTTGTCATTGTTGCCTCAGAGGGTGGTCCTTCGGGGGATTGTGCTTAGAGTTTGGCCTCACAAATGCGCTTTTTCTCCCCCTTTTTAAATCTATGTCTTTAAAGAATGCTCTACTGCATTCTTTACTGCATTACTACAAACCATGCATTAGAACATTCTTTCACTACAATAACACTGCTATCAACTTAGCAAGCACGTAGCACTTTTAGAAACTTCTTTTTCACATGTCTTTTTAAACACTACACTTCAGGCATCACACAAAGCTAAAAACATCCATTCACTGCATTACATTGTGTTCATCATGACAAGCAAGTAGAAATCTTGAAATCTTCTATTTCACATGTGTTTTTAAACACTGCACTACATGCATTATAAAATGGTAAGCACATCCATTAGGTGAATGACACTGTTCTCAATGTGGGAGGTAATGTAGCACTCTTAGAAACATCTCAAAAACATGTTTTAGTCAAGACCCTAGAATGAATGGATCATGACTTCAAATTATGCTTCTTTCCTAATCACAAACATATTCCTTCAGAAATCCTTAGCTGAAAGAGAAATCCTAGTAATTTCTCTTTGCGAGCTTCATTGGGCAATAGTAAACCCAGAAATCTCGCTTCATGCTGTTCCCTCTAAATTTTTAAATGGGCAACATTTTTGTCTCTTGCAGCACCTTAGTGAATGCTACAGGAGATAACCCAGTATCTTTCTAGGAGCTTTTCAGTTTCCTAAAATGCAGTCATTTGTGAATACATATTCTGATTCTCCAAAGAAATTGTGTTAGACATAAATTTACCAGCAACCTAACAGCATGCCCAAGAGAAATGGACACCCATCTACGTAAAAATTTGTACACAGATGTTCTTAGCAGTTTTACTCAACCCAAAAAGTACAAATAGTGCAAATGCTGATCAGCTGGTAAATGGATAAGTCCACTGTGGTACATCCATACAGGGGACTATTACTTAGGTATGAGAAGGATTGGCGCATTGACACACTCATAAAATGTTATAAACCACAGAAACATTGTGCTACATGAAAGAAGCCAGATTTGTACAATACGTACAATGTGATTCCATTTATATGACACATCTAGAAAAAGCAAGTCTGTAGAAACAGAAGGTAAAATTAGTGGCTGCCTTGGGCTGGGAGCAGGCTGGGATTTACTGCTGATAGGCACAACAGATCTTTTGGGGGTGATGGAATAGTTCTAAAACTAGATTATGGTGATAGTGGCACAACTCTAAAAATCAATTGAAGAAAAAAGACTAAGAAGAAGAATTCTCAAAGAGAAAAAACAGATGCAAGTTCAACCTTCTTAGCCAAAAAAACCCCACAATGACCGTTGGCCGGCGTATCAGGAATTAACTGCCCCCTGCTCCCTGCTCAGCCCCTACGTAGACCAGCCAAGGCTGCAGTTTTCTGAGAATCTGGAAACTGCCACATTCTATTCTTGATACTAATTTCTAAGTTGACTACAACTTTAGTTGCTACTTAAAGAAACTCAGTATGTCAACATGGAATTTACTCTAAGCTGAAAGATATTTCACAAAGGCCAAAACAGCATTTCAGAAGCAATGTGTAGCACAAAACTGGGCTGCTGTAGGAAATTCAGGAAGCTCCATCTCTAGTTTTTTTGGTTTGATTTGGTTTGGTTCTCTACACATCTGCTTTATTTTTATCTCTGCCACAGAGCAGCACAGTATGTTTGTCTTGGCAGGCAGGTAATATTGTGGAAAATGATGATGCCATTAGCTGCTGTATTTACATCCTCACTGAGACTGATCAGGAATTGATGATCCTAAATTCCGGGGAAATGACCGACCTGCCAAGATTGGATTAGGTTCCCCTTCTCCTGTGTCAGGAGGGTCCAAAACTGATATTCTCACTGTAGAACGTGATAGTATTTGCTAATTGTTACAAATGAATGTAGGTCCTCAAGTTCAAACCCATATTAAATGCAGATAAGTGGGCTAGGTGGAGGAGGTACGAGGTTGTATATGAAGCCCTATTGTCTAAACAGTTGTCCTTCCTTTCACAGTGGATTTACTCATGTGGAAAGCGACAGCATGAGCATTGTAGGCGTGGAAGCCAGAAGCATCGGCACAAGTATTCTGAGGTCATATTACTTCCAAGTGCAACGGGGCTGAGATGACCACATTGATCATCTCCCTTTGGTGAAGAGCTTGTATGCACACAAGGCCAAAATGATTATCAAAATTGAGACAAGAATTACTAATTCTCAAATACCTACTAAGGGCAGGCACTGTGCTATGTGAGTTTATTTTTAAATCTTCACAGGAAGCCAATGAAGTAGGCATGATTATCTCTTTTTCAGACAAGGAACAGGAAATGTAACAGGGGAGTCATTAACCCATTGTTAGCCCATGGTCCAGCTGCCTATCAGCCTGCCCAGAGCTATTCAGATAGTAGCAGAGTGGAGAGGATGCATGACAGGGGACTAGAAAGCCCACGCTTAAAGTGCTGGGATTGTAACAGTCGTTTTTGTTGTTTAAATATATAAGTAAATATTTTTTATCTTCCTATCCTGTGTAATTTGCTTTAGACACACATTAATAAACAGTTCTTGCTGTCACGTAGATGAGTTCTGTGGCACTATGTCTCATCGCTGTAGGGAGACTTTTGTATTTTGTGACAGTGGTGCCCCTGGACTTGGTCCCCCTGGAAGTACTGGCTGGTGTATTGGGCGTATCATTCAGAGTTCTTAATTGCAAGCAAGAGGAACGGCAAGCTGGCTAACTAACACCAAAAGAGGAATTTATTGAGAGGAAAGAGAGTAGCTCACTAGGTCAGTGGGAAGCTGGAGAAAGAGGCTTAGAACCAAGGGAAGCCAGGCAGCAGACAGCAGCCAGGACCTGCTCCAGTGATGTCGGGCTTGGGCCATCCCCAGCTCTGCAGCTGCCATCACCGTGTCCCCCAGGCTCTACCATATTGCTACAACTGTATTTCCTGGCTGCTTAATGACTCAAGACTCAGTATACCAGGGCTGTGCACGTGTGCGTGTGCGTGTGCATGTGATTTGCTAACTGTGTCATATGCATACAATATCGAGGCTAAGATGGGAGAGTCTAGCCCCTCAGCTTCAGTAGTAAATGCTCCCAACATGACTCACGGTGAAGATTTCTTCAAAAATCAGAAGGAAAGATTCCTCAAAAATGGAAAATAAGGATACAAACTTTCTACCACAGCCTACTGCTACTACAGCCTGCCCAGTACCCAGATGTACTCTATTTCCTATATTTGCATTTAAACAATTTTTTTTTTTTACTTAACATAGCAACTATATGCTGCATAGCTAAGACCAGATGCAGTCATTCCCCCAAAAGAAAACCGAAAGCCCTCCCCGCTTTTTTTTCTTAGCGAAAACAGGTTTATTTGGGGATAATTTTAGACTTACAGAAAAAGTTGCAAAGACAGTACAGAGAATATGCTCTTTACCCAGCTTCTCTTCATGTTAACACCTTATATAACTGGTTATGTTTGAAAACCCAAGCTCTTAGAACTAGCTTCAAAACTCTTAGGAGTATGTATCTCTTTTAGTTCTGTCACAGTTTTGCCTGGTACTCTAACATTCATGGACTGATTGGTGATGCAGTACTAATGTATACAGCAGAGGGGGAGAGGAGAAGAGAGGAAGGGAGAAATTGGCTGCAATAAATACACGGGACACAGCAAGGAAGGAAATAGCTGTTACATTCAGAAAATGAAGGGGAAATTCAAGTAGGCTGAAATATGGATTTTGCTGAAGACACAAAGAAAGGGGTTGGGGTTTTGGCAAGAGATTGGAGATCAGATAAGGGAAACTTGAGTGTCTGGGTCCGCCTGAGAGGCTTGGACACATGATGACTAGGAAAATAGTTCTGGTCATTTCTTAGGGGAAGCCAGCTAATCGGGTCCAGGCACTCTGTGCTCAGCTGCAACATTAGGGTGCAGTCATGTCAGTATGGTGGCCCTACCCAAGAACTTGTGCAGCTCTAGGGATCCTTGCTATGGGTATGTGGGAGGCTTGCTAAGGGACTCTTCACAGGAACACAGCAGGGTCTGGGAGCTCCTATGAATCTTGCTGATGTGTGTGCTGAGTTCGGCAGATGGGCTCTTATCAGGAAAATATGGCCAGCTAAGGTGTGCCATGGCCTCATGAAGAGACACTTAGGAAGCATGCCATGCTCTCAAGCCCTATAAATCCACGTTCTCATGGCTTTTACAGCATGCAGTGGGCACTGTGCAACTGGGAGACGTGACAACTGTCGTGGCCCCCCCGCCCGAGTCCTACAGAAGTGTGCAGATCTCTGAGCCTTCTTCTCAGACCCTTCCATTAACTCCTGATGTAGCATGAGATAAAATATTGAAAATAATCTCCCTAGTACTTGGCCACAAATGATGAAGTCTTTACAAATTACAAAATATTAATTGCTAACCATAATTCAATAATTCCTTTTTTTTTTAAAGAGTCCCTTTGAATACATGTACAGGATTTAAAACACTTTAAAAGATTAGATGGATTAAGTAGAAATAAAACCTCAATGAAATAGGGACAGAAAATAATTTTCTTAACCTGATAAAGGGAATCTAAAAGAAATTTAGAGCAAACATACTTAATGATAATTAGAAACATTTTCACTGACATTAGGAAGAATCTAAGGGAGACATCACAACCAAAATTAACTATTGTCTTGGAAGTGCTAATAAATGAAATATTTTTAAAAATGAGCTCAACAAATTAGAAGTACATTTGCCATAATTTCTAACTAAACAGTACTATTTCTAGAAACGCAAGAAAATCATTAGAATTGGTAAGCCAAATTCCTCATGTTGGTGAGTAGGTACATATTAAAATTAGTGTACCAACAATTAGGAAGTATGAGAGGAAAAGAATCCCATTCACAACAATCTCTTGGAATAATCTTTAACAACAACAACAAAAACTTTATGGAGAAAACACAAAGTTTTTCTAAAGAAATAAGAGATACTCTGTTCATTGATAGAATTACTATTTTAAAGAGGCCATAAACTGAAAGCACTACCAATGAAATTGCTACAGTTTTTAAAATAGAATATGAAATATGATTATAAAATGTATACAGGGCTATACAGGTACAAGAATAGCCAAAACAATCTTGCAGAAACAAAAGGATAGAGGATAGAGAGAACCACCCTGTGAGTTGTGAAGACAAAATTAAACATTAGCCATTGAGACAAAGTAGTATCAGTGCATGAATAGACAAACAATAGAGAATCAAAAAACAGCTATGTATATTTGGAAATTTGGTATACAATATAGTGACATTTCAAAATAGAGTGGAAAAATAATGCTTCAGCAAATTGTCTTGGCAGGACTAGCTATCCAAATGGAATACAATCAGATTCCTTCCTGATAATCATGTTCACAAATAAGTTTCTTATGTGTAAAGGATCTAAACAAAAACAATTTAAAATTATAGAGAAAATTTTTAGACAAGGAGAGGCCATTAAAGCAAGATTAAATAATACAAAAGCAAAACCCATAACAAAATAGTCTATGTCATAATGTAAATCCTTTGCAAAAGTGACACCATAACCAAAATTAAAAAAGACATGCTGTTGACAGCAGCTTCAAAAATGAGCTAATAGGAAATGTAATTTATAAGGACCCAAACCAAAAACTAAATTCTCAAAATTGTTAGCAATCACAGCAAAATAAAACAATAATAGCATAGCATTTTACACTATCAGGCTGGCCATAAAAGGGGGAAATTATAGAAAACTAGATGACGCCAAGTGTTTGTGGGCATATGGAGATACGGGACCCTAATGATGGAGGCTGCTTTCCCCCTTTCACAGTCCAAAAGTCTTTGGCCAATCCAAGGTATGTGTTCCAGTAGTGCAATCTGTCTAGAGCAGGTTCACAGTCACAGTTCTCAGCACTTCACCTCATCTCCTATTCTGGTCAACACCATGGTTGCCTTCTCTGACATTCTCCGCAACTGGCGGCAGGGATGGAGGGTAGATTTACATCTTAATCTCCTTGACTCTGAGTGTAGTTTTTGAGGTGCTAGTTCAGTGTGAGATCGATTGCTATGCACTTCCAGTTTGCATCATCCAACAGAGTCTAGGAGGTGTTGCAGTGTGTGCCTCAGTCATCTCTCCAAGTGGGAGCAGCCTGGTGCAGATGGGGTGCCAACTATGGGAAAGAAGGAAGTAGTTGAGGGAATTTGAGAAGGTATACATGTTTTGTGTTCCAATTCAGTCCATGTTTTGTACCCTTCATGTCCTCCTATTACATACACCTCTCCTATATTATGAGGCCTCCTCCATTGAGAATCCTTACTCTTTACAAGGCTGATCAGAGTCCCAGTTGGTACCGGTTCTGATCTGGAAGACTACAGCAAGAATGGTAGTGGAATGAGATAGAGTCCCCTCTGCGGTTCTCTCCATCCTCTATCCTTTTGTTTCTGCAAGATCGTCTTGGCTATTCTTATATCTTTATAGCCCTGCATACATTTTATAATCATTTTCCACATTCTATTTTAAAAACTGTAGCAATTTCATTGGTAGTGCTTTCAGCAGCTTCAAAAATGAGCTAATAGGAAATGTAATGTATAAGGAACCAAACCAAATTCTATTTTAAAAACTGTAGCAATTTCACTGGTAGTGCTATGACCTTTACTCAAGGGGAACGGGCCTCTTTAAAATAGTAATTCTATGTAGGTATTTCTTCCCTTCACTGATGGTACTTTGGGTAGTCTCAGCTGTTTGCTTAGTTGGGTGACCCTGACTTTCATCCTCAAGGTGATAGTCATGGTTGTTTCTGTGCTCACTGAGATTCATTGCTGGGTATATCAGTTTAGAGAAACCCCAGTTACTTCTAGGTTCTAGACACACTCTACTCTACTCCCATTATGTACTAGCAATCCTAGTCCCCGATTGTCAGTTATAACCACAATCATGATAGTCACTCCTTTCTTTGCCTGTTAGGCCACTGACAAAGAACAGAGTAATCAGGTGGTCATCAGAGCTTCCACTTAAGAGGAAAATTGCTGTGACCTCTGAAAGAACTGTTTCCACTTCTATCTCTAAGAAATAGGACCTATAATCACTGACAGATCAAAGTTATCCAATAAACGAATCAGCAATATTCTCAAGTTTGGTATTTGTTTCCTCCAAATTTAAATTCAAAGAGACCCACCAAAACTTTTTTTTTCAAGTAGTGATATATTTGAGGTGCAGCAACTTGTCTACCTGAGAAGAAACGTCCTAACATGCCCTCACCCTTCCAAGTGGCTGGTTACCTTGGCTAATGGCTGTAGGTTTTGTTGAAAAAGGATTGGAGGAATATTTATTGCATACATTTATGATGGAGTTATATGACCTTTACTCAAGGGGAACTGACCTTCCTTTAATCAGTGTGCTCTGAATCTGTAATTTAAGCTGGGAACGGATGTGGGACCTTAACTTTCTATTGAAGTGGAAAACATCCAGTTCACTAATTCTCAGGGATTTTTTCTGTTTATTTAAACTAGCACCCTCATTTGTTCTCCATTTTTATCACCCCTAGGGAATTGTGACATATCCACCACCACCCCAGATCTCTGCAGATCAA